TTTGAATGGAAAAGAAAGCGTTTTTGTGCGGGATAAAAAAAGAAAGATGTCGAAGATTTTACTATGAGTGAGAATTTGCAGTTTAAATGTGTTGAATTTTGATGAAAAAGTATTAAATGACTTTATGACTGGTGTGGAAATAATTTTAAAAGAGTATATATAATATATTTTGTAATTGGAATATATAGGAATTTCCTTCCACCAAATTGAGCCAAGATTTCATTAGCTAAAGGTATTGATTTAGAATAATTATATGCTTACAAAAGTTTCATTAAAAGATTTAAGATAATTGTTGTTAGATTTAGTAAGTTGTGCATTATTAAAATTAGGAATTCATTTAACCATTTTCTCATAATATTACATTAATATATATCTATATTTGTATGTTAGATAAGTTGATGAATATTTAATTTGGAATTTTTGATGATTTTTTTCTTTTAAGAATTTATTTATTTTTAGACAAACAAATGGTAGATATATTTAAAAGAAATAATGGGATTCAAGCTACATTGTATTAATTATTCAAGGATAGAGTCTATGATGGAAGAAAAAATGACGAGTTCATTTAAGAAAGATATAAGTCAAAAAATTACTTGATAAACCTCCCTCTGCTGATGTTGCTAATTTCTATCTATATTCATGAACTCCTTCGTTCTTCATTTTCTTTTGTTTTTCGTCAGCTTTTAATTCTTTTGTCGTCTTTCTCATTTGCTCGTTTACGCCTTTTAAAAAACTTCTTGTAAACTTTCAGCAACTGAAGCTGTGATTTGTGCTTTAATGGCTTGTTAATATAGTAAGGCTAAAACCAAGTCGATAATTAGGAAATTTTTCCTTTTATTCTGAACAAAAATTTTTTTAATAATAATAATAATAAAGTCGCGGAAATAAATTAGCTCGGAATTTAAAACTTAAAATTTATAATAAAAAATATGGATTTTAAAATAAAAACGTTATTAATATATTTTCGAAAAATTAGGATGTACTGGTCTCAGTTCCAAATACTGGACTTTTTTTCAGAGAATTGAAAATACCGGTCAGATAAATACGAATTTTA